AACACTAACACTAACACTAACACTACTACTACTACTACTACTACTACTACTACTTGTCGCTCCTTTGCTAGTACTGGTACTACTGCTAGGGTTTTACTACCTCTGCCCTGAAGCATGCAGCACGTAAAGCTGCCAGGACAGGCGCGCCTTGATCACGGATGAGGTAGTGGCCGAGTGGATGGCGGTAAGGAGGTTGGACTTCTGAGCCCTTCGAGCCATCGCAGCTTCGGAGTCTGCTGGTAGCAATGTTGTCCTTGGATTTGATCCAAGGGAGTAGTGGAAATGCTCACGAAATCTCACGAACATGTCCTGCATGGCAACCATGACTCAATTGGGAGCTCATGGTATTTGAGGGAGCTTGGTCCATGCTATGCTTAACCAGTCGCAGACATTATTTGAAGACAAGCCAACTGTCCCCTAGAAATGTCTTTCAGCCCAGGCAGCACTCTGTCACCTTCATTTCTGAACGGCAGACGCCAGCAGCTGCGCAGTTGGAGTGATTGCGGCACGAGTTCGTGCGTAGTGCTGGAGTTCTCATGACAATTCTTCCTGATTCCGTTGTTCTCGTGTCTTGTGCCGCTGTAGCGCAACAACTTCAGATCCAAGAGTATTTCTTTCTTGCGCCGCATCAGTCTTCGGCTGGTCGCACTTGCTGTGCTGTACAGTGCCGTAAGAACCCACTTGCACAGTTTTTTGGTCAGCTTACTGTGCAGCTCGGTCTCCGGCCGTCTCATGCCGAGGAGCACCTAGGTAGAGTGGACGTGGCACGGTCCAGGGTCGAAGCAATTTTAGCTTTATGTCCTAATACATTAATGGTGGCTTACAAGTAACTGCTGCAGCCATGCCATAATATGGTGACAACCAGCACAAGGGCTCTGCTTAAGGTCTTCAATCGCTCGATTTCAGAAACAAAAACTGATCGGCCGAGCCTCGTCCAGTCTGTCCCACTGCGTTGCCTTCAGCAGCTCACCCTTCAATGGGTGTGTCACTCAGAGGCAGCACCCGGCAAGAAAGGCAGCATGTCTCAGGAGACATGACAACGCTGAGACCACTTGAATGCAGCTCACAATCCTGAAGCTACAGTAACAATTTCCCAGCATCCAGCGCCCAGAAATCTCCTGAAAATCCTCCTAGGCCCCTTGATCATCTAACCCAGGTTCTGCACAAAGGGGATGATTGGCTGCTTCATGAGCCACCGCCGGATCTGGCAGAAGGCCCGAATGCGGCATGAGTTTGGGATTGCTATCAGACTCGACTGGGCTCTGCGATAATCACAGGTAACAATATTGGTACAGCTGGCCGGTAAAAGCAACACTGTTCATCGAGAGGGGCAGAAGTACGAACGCTGCTGACGTGAATTTATGCCCCTGGCAGGACTACGAGGTTTCTGAAAATGCCGTTTGCAATTCACTCTTTCTCACTGCCGATGTAAGTGGCCGCATAGCAAGCAGAATTTGGAAGCCATCTCGTCTATTGCTCACGCCCTAGTGCTGTTGTAGTAAAATAGCTGGGTTTTGTGCAGTGTGCAATGCTCGAAAGTACGACTTCCCTGACGATCTGCACTGTGATCTCTTAGCAAAACTGGCCTCAGAGCGACTTTGCAACCCAAGTAGCTCGCGAATGAACCCTTACCATCTCCATGAGCTTGTTGAAATTTCATAGACAGGAACTGAGTGAAAGAAACCCGTGAAAGAAAAGGACAAGAAGGGAAAGCGAAAAGTGAGGGAAACAAAACAGTCAAGGGCACGAAGAGACAGCACTACAAGACCCGAATGCGTGCTTCTTTCAAGACTCTAAGATCTCCCAAAGATTGAGATCAGAGAAAAACATCTGGATGCCAAAGATATGTAGGCAGTCATGCCGGATTTTGGATGAGACGTGCAGAGAGCTCATTCATGCGATGTCATTGGTTCTTACATGCTGGTCCTAAATACAGCTTTTTGGGGTGCCTTCCACGCTGGGCAGGCCTGGTTGCAATCAAACCTATTTGATTGTTGGTGCTGTCCCGCAAAGTCACAGCTGCAGCTCACTGTATGACTCCTTGTGTGAAGGTCGTCGACGAGGACTTACCTGCGGTCGTTGTGCTGGAGGCCGTGCTTGCAGTTGTTAAAATGGCTTCTAAATATGAGAGGACAGGGAAAAATCAATTCTGCACACCGTGGCGCATAGGCGCTTCGCGACTGGAATAGCGTTTCAGGGCAAAACTGCCTTCTCTGGTAGGGAATGAGGTAATGGAGCCCGACACTACAGCCTCCTTCATTCCCTGCTCAGCAAAGGCAAGCATAGTGTGCAGGAGCTTGCGCTGCTACAGGCTTGATGCTTTCTCAGCTTTGTCAAAATGAGGTGAGAAAAGGCATCTCTACAAATTAACCGCAAGATGCCTACGGCTTTTGGACCATAGAAGATCATCCTTCCCGGGTCAGGGTCCCATCATAATCCACATGTTGAGCAACTCGCCAACGATGCCCACACTATTTCTATCTCCCCACCCCAGCATACAAGCCCTCAACCAGTGCGACTTGACCAGAAAAGTCGCTAGAATAATCTACTGGTGACCAGTAGGCAATATACCAGGAATACGTAGGGATTATATATCTCATTTCCATATTCCCACTAACCACCAGTAGAAAAAACGAGAAGATCCCCTGACACAGGATGATGTGCGGCTCGTTGATGGCTTCAAGGGCCAATTGGGTCAGCTTATGTCCAATCTGCCGGAGGATTGGGAGGCAGTCAAGGGTTATCAGGGTGTATAGTTGGGGTTAGTAATAATCGGCTTCAGATCTTGATTTGGATTTAGGGTGGAAACTGCCCAGATGGATCAGTGTGTAACGAAGTCCGGTTACCCCCAGACACACGTGACAAGACGTTCAGCGCAGGATTTTTGAAACAAGCTTCACCAAGATTGAGCTGCGCAAAGTCTACGAGCGTTACCAGTATGGTTACCATTACTTAAAACTTTGCGATCACTGGTAATTATCCCTCGCCCTGCCAGCATGTTCCAAATGACAGGTTTGCCTTCTGGGTGCCATTGCTACTTGGCAGCCATGCTACGCCCAAGAGGTTGAGATGCTCTGAAGATAGACCGAAGCTGTCGAGCTGATTAGTGCTTGTTCAAATGGTTGTGCCAATTGCTTTGGTCCATTAGGATGGGAAGTCTAAACCTGACAGAGTTGAAGAGCGCTGCAGATGTTGTACCACTAGACAGTACAACTACAACAAAGCACGCCTGCTTTCTGTTGCACTGGTGGCATGACGGCATAGCCTATGCAAGCTTCTTCCTGAGGGTAACGTCAATCCCGTCAAGGAGCCGTTCTACATGAAGCCCCTCGGACAAAACAGAGCGGTTTTTGAGCAAAAATAGTTTGTTGTCTTTGGAATCATAGAGCCCTTGCTGCCATGCAGGCCAGCTGTCTGCACTCTGATTGCTCTCAGTGGGAACGCACTCATCTTTCATTCTCGTAAAGAGACTTGAACATTCAAGGTTCTACTCCTTCTGCAGCTTGGATGCACTGCGTCAGTAGTTTGGAGCCTTGCAGCAGCCTTTTTTTCTTGTTCAGCTTGCATCGTTGACGCCTGCACGTTTTTTGCGGCACGTTAAGTATTCCTGGAACGCAGGTTGTGCACGAGAGTGAAGTAGCAGCTTGACCGGTGTGTAGCAACATCTGCTGAGCACTGTCTTCCTCCAGCTGGATCAAGAGCCTTCAAAAGGGCCACGGTCCAACTAGCATTTCGTATCAATTTTTGTTTGCGCCATGGGTTGCACGACGGGCGCGCCAGTGAAGCACGAGGCAGGGAGGGGCAGAAGCAAATCCGCTGGTTGGTTTGGGGTTCCGTTCCACTAAGATCGAGGTATTCAGCTTTTTGTTGCTGCTGCAGCTGCTACCACTAGCGGTGGAGACTGTAATATAGTCCAGCCTTGCTGGTAATCAACTAGAAACGTTATTCTGAATTTATGTGGTGGTCTCAATGGTGCCGACTTGTTGCGGGAATTGTTCAGCACCCTCGTTGACGGTGCCGGCTTGTTCCAAGCGAGAGTTGCAGGATATCAGCTTAAAACTACGACTCGCGGGACCCCAACAAACCCTCCATCCTTGAATGGTGTCCATGTTTTTCCTTGGGGACTCTCGTACACTAATCAGACTGCAACCTCAATTGTATTCATAGGTGTGCAGGAGGAGAAATCGTGAAGTAGCAGTCTATTTTCGGTCCTTGGGCACTTAGCGGCTTAGGGTGTAGAGTCCCCCTTAAGTAGATAGAATATGGCTTTGGGTGTATGATAGTAAGATCCCCATATATCCCATATTCTATCTACTTAAGGGGGACTATATATAGACTATATACCCTAAATAGAGCACCGGACCGGACACTTCTTGCCGTTCCTGCGCTCTGTGCGATGCACGTGTCTAAATACTAGTTTCCATTTTCTTTTCCATTATCCCAACATAATCCCTACAGGACTGACCCTAAACCCTAAACCCTAAACCCTAGGGTTTAAGGTTTAGGGATCTGCAAGCTGCTTCGGAGCAAAAACTTTGTGTTCTTCGCCCTCATCCCCCTCTGCCCTGCCCTGCACAGATTGTGTTCTGGTGTTCATTTCATTTTCCGATTCTCCGTTAGTGGGTAATACCCATGGTATAATCTCAAAATGTTCCTGATGTAATCCCTACACAGCCACAATATATGCCCTGTAATACAAGATGGAAGTTCTATTTTCTTTTCCACAATTCCCTATTTGCTCCCGATACAGGTCAAATTGGAGGCGCTCGCAGACTTGCAGTCGCAGTTCCCACTTCGTCGGCCACGACTACCGGGAGATATACTCGTTAGTGGCAACCTGCCATCTGACGTAGTTGGGCAGCTTGCAAGTCACTGCAGGGGTTGGTTGTATTTAAACGAAAGCTCGGATGAGCACTTCTACTCCACACCCATCCGGAGTGCAGGCTGTGAGCTAGAGGTGATCCCCTTCAAGCCTAGCAAGGACTTACCTGCCCACGCTTTGGATGAGCTGGTTGACTGCATCGCCAGGCTCCCTCGGCCCCTCATGATCCAGTGTACCAGCGCAAACCGGGCAGGCACTGCCTTGCTGGCCTTCATGGCCAAAAGGAATGGACACACCCCAGGTTGTGTCGATCTGTTGGCGGAGGATCTCAAATTGGACACTGTGAAGCCTGAAGCGAAAGCTTGGCTCCAGTCTTACTTGCCATCTCTGGGGAACAAGGATGGTGAACTGTTGATTGAGCGGTGCCCGGAGGTTCGCCAGTTCTTTGACCCTGTCTCCAGCACATTGACCTACCTCCTTGCCTGTCCGACCACCAAGCAGGCCGTGCTGATTGATCCAGTCCTTCAGCTGAAAGACCGCGACCTCAAGTTCATCAACGATTTGGGTTTGCACCTGAAGTATGTTCTAAACACCCATTGCCATGCGGACCACATCACGTCTGGAGGGATGATTCGAAAGGACTTGCCTCACGTGCAAACCATCATCTCCAAGTCCTCCGGGGCTGAAGCAGACATCCACATCCAGCACGGGGACAAGGTGGACTTCGGCGATCTCTCCCTGGAGGTCCGTGCCAGCCCAGGCCACACGGATGGCTGCGTGACCTATGTCCTGAGAACTCAGATTGCCACCTTTGCCTTCACTGGCGACACGCTGCTGATCCGGGGGTGTGGCAGAACCGACTTCCAGCAGGGTAACTCCTACACGCTCCATGACAGTGTCCATCAGCAGATATTCACTCTCCCCGATGCCACCTTTGTCTGCCCTGGCCATGACTACAAGAACAGGGGTGTGTCTACCGTGCAGGAGGAGAAGATGTTCAATCCTCGCCTGATGAAGCAACCAGAGGAGTTTGCTAAGTTCATGGAGAATCTTGGCCTGCCGAACCCGAAGCAGATCGACGTGGCGGTGCCAGCCAACATGGCATGTGGTGTGCAGTTTGATCCTTCGGAGAATCTTCCAATCTAGGAGGGTTCCATTCTTGCTTTTCCTGGCGCCACGCCGCAAAGCGGCCGAACTAGCTTCTGCCCAAGCGCAGAAAGCCAAAATAGATGGCGTTTTTCAAGGTACTTCCACAGTCTTCCGTCTCTTTGGGAGCCATGGCGCATTGGTCTCGTGAGTTCCTGGAGCAGTCTGACATGTTGTACATTTTGAAAGTTCCGTTCTTGCATCTGCCGCGCTGCAGACAGCCTAGCTTCTCACGCCGTGCCGAAGGTACGGTGGACAAGGTTGAGTGAGCAGTAAACCGCTCCACAGCATTGGTGCCCCAGAATTTTCGATATCTCCACGGATTACATCTCATTACTGGTTTTGTTCTCTGGTTTGTGGAAACGATGCCCAGCTCGCGGGCTCCTTGTCTCTGCTTGGGTGAGCTTCAATTGGAGAGCAAGGTGCCAAAAACCTGCACTCTCAGAAAGCATTCCGAAGCGTTGCTGGTAAAGGCCTTTCGATCCCGGAAAGTTGCCATGTTGCAAAGCTTGCTCCAGATGTCTCAGGCTCCGGCGGTGGCAGACCATCACCAGGTCAAACGCGCACAGTGGCGCCGAGAGCTCACTGGAGGTACTCTAATCCGCCATGCAGTGCAAGCCTACCCGTTCCCTATGGAGCTATGCTGAGTTCAAGACTGGTGGGCCAAAGGTATTACTTGAGGCGCAGAGTTTTGCCTCGCGAGACGGGTAAAGCTTGCTTCCCGGTGCAAGTCCCTAAGGCCGGGCGTTTTCGTTCCACACCGACCAGCAGGCTGAGTGAAGGGGTGATTGAGGAGGATCCTGGAACTCTTTGTGTAAAAAGTTGAAGACGGAACAATGCTACGCATCAGGGATGCGATGCTCATAGTGCTACTTGTACTTAGTTGCGGCTTGTGCATCTCCTTCCACCCTGCGCATGTCACACAGACGCTGCAGGTACCCACGCGTACCTGGCAGCTTGTATGCAACTAGGACTTTGGCTGTGCAAGAAGACCAACATCCTTTTAGGGACTTAGCTCCTGTTATGGAGTCCGGACCTTTATAACAAGCCTCGCCCTTGGGACCAACACAGATTTTGCTAGCTGGCATCGCCACCAGTGCTCAAAGGCGAAGGTGCATGCAATCCCTGGCCATGGCGTGCCTTTGCAGTTAAGGTTTCCAACCGGGGAGCAAAGCGGCTATTGAAGGACTTTCACAGCTGCCTGCCGTCAGATAGGTAACGTAGTTCTCAACTGAGAGAGAGTTCTCAACATACGGGTCACCTCATATTCCCCCTATTACCCACTCTGGGAGCACATCATAGACAATGTGCCTTAGTGCCAGCCTGTGGTCTGGGCTTGGGAGAAAATCCAGACAGGAGCTGCCAAAGGCGTGCTACCACGTGGATCTCACAGTCGGGGCCCTGCCAACATAACACCACTGCCATCGCCGGCAGGTGGTGCTGTGCGATTCCATTTGCCTGCGCAAATACCAGGGGTGCCACTTGCAAGACGTATGCCACCAAATCACAGTGCCGTGGATGTAACGCACCACTCCACCCAAAAGGATTTGTTCAATAATGGCTGAATTCATGCAGAGTCTCAGAGGCCTGGGCGCTTCCCGATCTCAAGCTCTACGCTGCCACGGACCAACTTGCGACCCAGGCGGGCAAAGTTCCAGGGATTTGGGGAAGAAAGTTCATGTCACGTTGACAAAGCATGAAGAAGGATAGCATAGCTGTCTATGCATGTATGTATGTATGTATGTATGTATGACTATGTGAATAATTACATACACACACATATATATATATATACACACGCAACATTATGCCACTGTACACTTAGACATGTTCCGTATGCTGCTATACATGCAGACCTTGCCGATTTTGGAAACTCCTGATGGCTTGTTGTGAGGACTTTGAGGCCGCCTCGACAGCCTCGACCTCAGGGTTTTGGGTTTAGGGCTTTCGGGTTTTGAAGCTTGGGGTGGGTTTAGGGTTTTGAGGTTTAGGGTGGGTTAAGGGGTTTAGGGTTTAGAGTTTTGAGGGGTTGGCTGATAGAGGCCAAATTGAAAACAAGCTGGAACATGAAATTTGAATGGGTGTGTTTAGGGGTATTACCCCCAACAGTGGGCTTTTGTGGTTTATGGTTTGTGCAAAGTATGAATCCTTCTTAGTGTCGCAACGTACCAGATTTTTATCTATCTTGCAGATGGTTCGATGCGGTGGCTTATGTAGAGGCAATCTCCGATTGGTGACACATCCAACAGTCCCGAAGAATTCTGCGAGATACCATGAACAAGGACCTTGCCAAGCCAAACGAGTTCCAGGTTTCTAAAGCTGGCGAGCCAATCACGCAGCGCTTCCTTCGGTGGTGCTGGACCATCACAGGCCCTCTGGTGTCACAGGTCAGAAGTGCAAGGGATAGCATGCATGGGCTGTGCATGTTCTCCAATGGCAGTTTGTTAGCCCTTTGATGGCTATCGTTCCGTGAGCCCCAGTCCCACAGCACCCTCATGGACCGTCGAAAGATGGGATCTTCAGGAGGCCCTTCTTCGATTCACTGGGAAGAGTCCAAGCCAAGAATAGGAAAGACAGTGACAAGTCCAGGCTTGGCATCGATGGGCAAGAAAGGCGGCGTGCCAGCAGCCCAGACGAACATCAGTTAGTCAATATAAGATGCCCATATACCCCATGTTCTATCCCTGAACCCTCAACGGTCATGGGGCCTTCATCCGACTGCAAGCCAGGAGGTTGAAAAGGGCTCTCTGTAAAAAAGCTGGTAGTTTCCATTTTATTTTCGATCATCCCAATATAACCCCTCTATTGTATCTACGTGAGGCATACAAACTGAAAAGTGGAGGGCGGCCCTTCTTTCTGTGTAAGCCTTACCGAGCTTGACTGCGGAAAGGCCTGAAAGGTTTCCTACAGTGCAACATGATGCATTTTGTCCGTGTGGCAGTGCCGTAGGAGGGTAGTGGAGGGAAGGGATCCGAGAGGAATTTGTGAAATTGGAGCTATCATTACATAGATGTATATGCTGCATATGCGCTGCTGGCTTCAATTGCAGAACTATATCGTAACATGATCACTGTAGTTTTTGCTGGTTTCATTGGCAGCCCCCTCTTCTCCGACAGCAAGACATCAGAGGAATAATCGTGTGTACCAAATTTGAATGTCCTCTGCCCTCCCCGATGTGCACGCGATTCGCGAAGAAAAGTTGTGGAATTCAAGCTTTCAAGTGCGAATCAGGTGTTGCTTCTTCGAAGATAACCCCGAACTTTTGGTCCCAGCTTCGGTGGCTCCGCTGCCATTTTGTTCCACAGCTCATGCCCAATCGGACACCCCTCCGCAAGCAAGCAGCTTGGCTTGACTGCAGTTGCTCTATCTGTTAATGACTTTGAGTTCTCGACAGTCGGAGGCCGCGTTTCCCAAACCCTTGGACATGCGCCTACCAAGGTACGTGCCAAATTCTTGTCAGGACAGGGGAGCGCGTGCAGCGCCTCGCACACAAAAATGGACAATCCTCCGCAGAAGCGCGAATGCTTCACAATTTTGATTCCTCGAAGTATGTCACATCCCAAATCCTGATGCGTGTTATTTGGGTCCTATGTTGTCGTGTTGCAGGACTTCTGCTACCATCACTATGGCTGCACAGCCGCAGAACCAGACGGAGGTTGCTTCTGTGCCTTGCCTGGACCAAGTTGCCTCGCTGGCTCATTTTTATCAAAGGGACTTAAGTCCAGTGTTGGTTTCAGATCAATTCGACGGGGATACAGGTCAATGTAGGCATGCTCAAGCAATGACTATGAGCGGGTGATGCTGCCAACTGGGTCGATTTCTGTTGGTTGGGTTGCAGGTTGATGCAAGGCTTCAGGCTCACAAACTGGGTTGGGGATAAAGGAGGTTAGGGTCCTGAGCGGATTCAGGCATTCACCCCAGATCCTAACGTTCCCATGTCCTCCTCTACATCCTCCAGTCATGACTGCTGCGCAAGGCACGATCCAGTTCCTAGTTGTAACTCTGCACTTCTTGCAACTGACTGGCTGCAGAGTACCCTTTTCCCGAACAAGCATGGAACCGCTCATAGGTTCTGTCAAAAGGACACTGGCCACTAGTATTCGTACTTTCTCTCTTGGGCCACCCGGTGTCGAGAGACATGTTGAGTAGTGTAAGCTTGGATTGATGCGGCAGAAGCTCCAGCACGGCAACAACACAACAGATGTAACCAGATAGAAGGCAACTTTGTCCTGTACTAGGCTTCACGATGTCAGAGCCTGTACTTGTTTAGGGTGTAGGGTTTAGGGAGGGCAACATTCCTGGATACCAAGGTGTGGCAGACAATCCTGATCGGAGACCTGACTGCACCCCTGAACGTGTGCTAAGGTCATACCAGCCCCGAACTTTGAAATGTTGTACACGTCCTTCACTGGGACCATCAGAGCCAACCAGAAACAGCCAAGCAGTTCATGGAATTTCCTCACCATGTGAGCCATAATGTCAGCCCCTTAAAGGGAGTTTTATAGAGGATTGTATCGGGAGTATTATAGTGGGATACTAGGAATTTACGCTACAGCTCATTTGCTTCGGTAAGTTCGCCGAAGTAGGCTCCGCAGTATGAGGCCAGGCATAGCTTGAGGATCCTGGATCCTGGGGTGCTGGGCCGTGTACCCCCTCAACCTCCAACTTGCCGGGAATTAATGGGGGGTTTCTGATTGTAAAACCCCGCCTCCCCCCTCCCCAAACAAGTCCGGATCAGAATAATCGGGGGGTACGCGAAAACTTGTTTGGGGGGGGATCCCAGACGAATCCATAAACCCTAAACACTACGCCCTAAGCCCTCTGGCCAAAGGCTTGGGATATATATGCAATTAGGAAATCGATGGTTTCTGGTGAGCGGTAATATCAGCATCAGCATGGAATTGGCTTCTAAAGAAAGGCTTAATTGTAAATACAATAGGGAATGCAATCTG